CATGGGGTCAGCTGCCGACTCCTCCGTAGAATCATAAATTAATCAAAATACTATGACACCCTATTTTACTATTATAACTTTCGTCCGCGACTCTTCGCGTAAAATTTAAGAAAAAAAACATAACTAAGCAGGTAGTCTATGTGTTCTCCCAGGCCGTCCTCTACATTTACGTCAAATTACATTGAGATCTGTTCACCTGTTTAGGCTACAAACTCTAACATCAATCTATCCATCTACGATAACGATAACATTATAAAGAAGAAAGATTTGCATTTTCTATATGTAATGAAATAACTCAAAAACTACTGAGGCGATTTCAAAAATTCACTATTAACAAAATGGGTTATCATTGAATAACATAGGCTATATTTTTTATTACTTTTTAATTTCACGCGGGCGAAGTCGCAGCTAGTTTATAATATTAATCAGAATAAGTAAGATAATATTATTTCCAGGTGTGCAACAATCGCGGTAATTGTGAATGCGGCTCTTGCGCGTGCCAGCCGTTGGATGTATGGGACGCGAGATGGGACCAGGACAAACGTTGCACTGTGTTGCCCTGCGACGACTGCCATAACCGACAATGCGATTTGTTAAAGAGTTGCGCGCGCTGCCATCACCGTGGCGGCGATTGCAAACAATGCCACCAAAAGATCAGGGTGAATGTTACACAAACTCTGAACGATTACAACATAAGTAATACGAACTGGAAAATCTGCTATTTTGATACCAAGAATATCTGTTACTCTCGTTTTATGTACAGATACGACAATGCTGGTTATAGCATTGAAATGATTGTTCAAACTGACAGTGATTGTGCTCAAAGCTATTATGGTGAGTATATGACTGGCCCTTCTAATTTTAAAGACCTGATTCCAAGTAAATATTAGTAAAAAGGGTTCAGAGAGGTTATCTAGTTGCAATACATTCTAACATAAACAACGCCATCTATTTTCATACTTATAAAACATTTTGCAAAGCATATTTTCTTGTCTTATTTCAGTTTTAATTTTCGCTTAAAATGTCTCGCGATAGTTTAAACAATTTAGTTTTAAATGATGCTTATTTTTTAATTTAATTTCAGTGTTTGGCGGAATATTTTTATTAACTCTCATTCTGATCGGCATTGTGACATTAGTCGCTTGGAAACTGCTTGTAGATGCAAGAGACAGGCAAGAGTATACACGTTTTAAGAAGCAACAAGAAGAGGATATGTCTGAAACTTGTGTGAATCCTAGGTTCCGACCACCGACGATGACCTTCAATAACCCTGCATTCAGAAGGGGATCATTATTCCGCAATAATTAGACAAATAAAATAATGAAGTATTGCTATCTTTTTCATTCTCTTTAAAAAACTGAAATAACTTGCTTTCTTGTATGTTTATTTTATAAAATTATCGGACACTCGTTATTATAACACACAATAGACATCTAGTGGTAGCTTGACAAACCTTAAGTTATCGCAGATAACATATTTTTATTTAACGCCATCTATCGCACGAACTTTAAACTTTGTACAAATAGTATTTACGCTTTGCTTCTAAAAAGATGCAAGTGAATTTTCACTTCTAGATAATTTAAGTTATAAACTATAATTATCATTAACGCAAAATCGATAATACAGTTACAAAAACAAACAAAACAATCTCGTGAGCCAGAGAGTTATGCATACACAGACAACCCTTTTTACATAAAAATGTTCGTTTCTTAAATTCAAAGAGATTCAAGAAATATAGTGAAAGCATAGTTGACACTTCGTTTGAAACATTTTTCACATAATCTTACTAACGCTGATTTCCGATAGTCAAATTCGACGTCGTCTCCGCGTGTCATATTTAACATTGAGATTTTATCCTACAAAGAAGTTACCAGTTAAAAAATGTTGTTCGCTATGTCTAGTCTAAATATTTCTTTAATCTTTGATTACGTTGGAAAGTGTTGTTACTAAATTTAAAAATACGGAACATAGTAAGATTATGCGGTCAACATGACTTTTAAATTACAAATGAATATATAGATTTGAATATGAATTTTTATCCTAACGGCAATAAATGTAATAATGTAGTTCATTAAGAAAAGTGCAATATGACGTCTAGAAAATATGATTTATCTTAAACTTTGAATAATTAAACATTTACAATAAAAATTTGCATAAGCTTTTGGTAGCAAAAACATATATGCGCGTGTCTGTATGCTTCCAACAATATTACATATTATTCACGGATAAGTAGAGACATATTTTTGGAACCGAACAATTTTAAAGGGTTTTAAGGTATACATTTATGTAGCTGACTGTATCAGTTAACATTTTAGTTGCAATTTCTTCACTTACATAAAATAATAGCAATGTCACTAGCAATGTTGTTCTGCTAGCTCTATCAACGTAGGACGATATTTACATATATAAATAATTATATATTTACATTCAAGAAATTTCTGTCTTGTGTTAAAATAGTTCATGTTACAAATAGATGGCGCTTTTTTAATCTCATAACTATTTCTTAAAATTCTCATTATTCAGCTATTAAATAAAATAGGATGTACTATTAAAAAAAAGTGTTAACAACTTAAGTGATGATATCATGTAATTTATGTTGAAAGTTTATAATTTAACACTGATAATTAATAAAAATAAATCTGAGTCTAAAACACACTATTAAAATTTTTCATTTGCGTTGCATAAATACAGCGGCGCCTCCTACATAGTGGAGAGTCCGTTTCTACTCAGTATGACAGTTGAAGACAAGAAGCTGTGCTAAATTCTTTCATAATTTACATCGCTGCCTGGGATTGACTGAGTTAACTGTAAAATTTTCCTTAGTCGCCTTGCGCCGGTGTATCTATACACAAACAACCAGACTGTTGTCATATGCGGGCTTCCTAAATCACTCAAAACCGGGGGCCCAATGACACCACTGATTGTGTGGAGCAAGAAATGGCCTTTGCCATGGTACAACCGCCTGCCGCTCCAGTTCGCTTTGAGTCTCCGGCGACTACGAATCCGGTTTCGCCGACTTGGCTTGTGACACATAGTGTTAACGGGGCGGATTTAGTGGCGTGTTGGTCAGAGGGTCTTCTTCTGGCTTAATCTTGTCGGCGCCTTCAGTGCGAGGCCCGACAGTGATAGAGCCGAAAGACCCCCGAGTATATGCAATTTAATAAAGCATAAAAACGGTTCTTCGAATCAAAGAGGGCGAATAACCCTCAACACCACTGTAGTAGAAGCTCTGACTCTCTTTTTGTCTTTTTCTTTGTTTTTAATATTAGAATAAATAATGGCTATTTATTGGTCGAAATAAATTTACATATGTACGTATACCTACAGAAAAGATATTGATTACTAAATTTTACTTATACGTGTAGCGTTTTTCGTAAAATGTAAAGCAACGTTAGAGTTGCTAATACAAGCGTAATTAAAACAAAAAAATAACTATATCAGTAGACGCATTATTTTGCTAGTACTTTCATTTTATAACGACCAGAGATTTAAAAATATATAGAGGAGGCATAATGACAAAATCACCTCAAGCCGTTTTCGCTTGATTCTCACTAGCTCTACCTGTTGTAATCACACACAGTCTCACGCTATACGATTGCATAAAATGAATTGAGCTATTCGACGATAGATGGCGCAAAACGTACATAGGGGTGTCATAAATTATTATCAACAAAATAATTATCGATAAAAATGGTTTATTTTTTATTTCAGTTTTTAAGTAATCATTATCTGGTCATTACAAATTATTTATTTTGAAATTAATTGACTTATTTAGGTTGAATGTAATTTTTACTATCAATTTCAAATTTTCTGGTCAGACATGGCAGTGTCGACAAAAAAAAAACTCTAAAAGCAATACCAATTTTCTTCATGTTCTATTCGGATAAATTCGGTACCAGTTTATTCACTGTTGAAAATGTAGAGAACACAAACTCGTCTAAATGAAAATGTTATTTTTTTAACTTCACACACTGTGGCATTTATTGCAATCGCCCAAAGGCTTTTCTATTTTTAGATTTCTTTTTTGACATGTATTTTATTTTAAATTCATAAATACGCTCAGTATTAGAAATAAACAAGTTTTTCTAGTAATTAAAAGTAACCCCATGTAATCAAAAATGTTGTTAAAACCCAATCACTTTTTGTCAATTCAAGGTTGAGAAAAAATAGCGAACACATTTAGGACAAAAAAATGTTATCGATAACTCAAACTGATGAACATCACGTCATCCACAACTGAAGTAAAACTATTCAACACCAGAGGGAGCTTATTACAATATTCCGAAGGTTCTAGAATTTGTAAATTATGATTTAATCACTGAGAAATGTCTTGGCCTTCCAAATTTCACATTGAAAAAGTATAGTTCAAAGATCCAGTGAAAAAATATTGTTTGTAATTGTCTTTGATAACAACGAAGCTCCCTGCTAGTATGAAAATAGTACGTTTATATTACAATTAGATGGCGCTTTACATAACTCAAAGGTTTTTATTAGAAAATCTCTATAATATAACGAATAAAACAAGATGTACATGCTAAAGTAGTTTTAAATGTTTTCATGTTGTCATTTGTAATACAACTGTTTAATAAATCAGTAGAATTTCATACAAAATTAACTGTTGCCCTAAAACACACTATTATGTTTATCCAGTAACGTTGCTTAAATACAGCGGCGCCTCCCTACATTGTGGGGAGTCCGTTTCTACTCGGGGAGACAGTTGAAGACAAGAAGCTGTTCTAACTTCTTTCAAGTTTGCCATAATGCCTAAAGACTGTGCTTAAGCGGGGTCCAAGGAGGCGATGTCCGGGACGCTGTTAATGGTGTCCGGGGACAGCGCCTGATGTGGGCCTCCACGGTACGGAATCCATGTTGCGCGCAAACAAGGAAACGGACCGTCTTTCGCATGGGCTTTGACAACTGGTTGAACGAAACCGTCAATTTAAAGCAACAGGACTACCGTTGAGGTAGCACTTACACGACTCCTCTGGTTCGCGGTAACTGACCACTGGCCAAGAGGATTTCGTAGTGTTAAATCGGCGGCAGACCTCTGGTTTTAGTTGAGGTCCCTACGGTAAATGCTTCACGCATAAAGCCGGTCAAAAGAGGGTTTGTTACCCTCGTCACCACTGCAGTAGAAGCTCTGACTCTCTTTTGTCATCCAATATCTAAAATTAAATTTACTTGTCCATCGTCATACATTTATCTAAGTATCTATATTGACTTTTAAAATGATATCCATATCTATACTATTTATTACAAATAGAAAAAATCGTAAAACTCACAACACTTAGTTACGTAGGACGTCAGCAATCACAGCATATATTTGAATAAATCTTTTTTTTAATAAAATGGCCTACACTACACGCTTTAGGCTATATATTTTCACGCTAATAATCTTAGGGAGTAAACAATTTAGAAAAAAGCCGTCATGCGTTAAAGGGACAAAACTAAAAGCTGACAACTGAAATTGAAAATTTCACAAATGTAAACAATAAAATAAAGTTTTTATAATTTCATGTGGATGAAGCCGCACGGGCTTAGCTCGTTTATTACTAAGATTTAAATAAAATTAGAATTCACATAAACATCCCTCCCTTCCGTGTTAGCGCTCACATTGTCGGCTTTTTAAGTAAAAAAAGTTTGATACGTAAGTAAGATTTCTGACGCTCGTTTGTGTCGTAAATTTTGTCAATGTAATGCAGCGAGACATATGTCAGCTCGAGACGCAAACCTTCGCAGACGCAAACGCTCTTTCTTATCTTTTTTGACCGACTTCCCAAAAGAAGGAGGTATTCAATTCGTCGATATGTTTTTTTTTGTCACAATAAATTTGAACTACCTATATGTAGATCTTAAACCGTTTCAGATTAAGGTTATTAAATCGCACTGGCGTTATGTTAAAATTAAAAAGCCTAATTATTTGTACATAAATACTAGTTCGAATTGGCAAAAAATTGTCTTATAGTTTCTGCACAAAGCTAAGCTAAATTAACAAGGAAAAGAAAATACGTAAAATTGCGCTTTTAGGGACTGAGAATACTATATTACTACTGTATACGATATTATAATTTAAAATAAATATCTTATTGTTGGAATATACAGTGTAAACGCTATATAACGACAAAAGGGATTGTCAATTTTATGGCGTTATAGAGAGTTGTCGTTAAATGGAGATAACAAAAATCAGACTTAGAAAAGGAAAAGTTTATTTTAAAGTTTTAGTGTTAGTAGTGTGTTAGTAGTTTTAAAGTTTTTAGTGTTAGTAGTTACGTATAAAAAAATAATCTTGTTTGAACGCTATTGCGTAGTTTGTTATTTTTGTCTGACGTCTTTTGCTGCACCAGTAATTTGTACTTTTTTAATTATTTCATTCATATCTTGCAATATTAAGCCATCTCGACAATAAAGACAAAAAAAAACATACAGACGAATGGAGTACCTCCTTCTTTTAGGAAGTCGGTCAAAAAGAACGTACGCAGTTTTTGCTAATTTTATACTTAAAAGACACTTTTTATTACACAATTGTGGTCGTTATGAAGAGTGAATGTAATGCTATGTAGAGTGTAAACGGCTGAACGGATTTCGATTAAATTTGGTATAGATGTAGAGGATAGTCCGGAAGAACACAGAGGCTAGGCTACTAACTTTTTTTTTTAATTCTACGCGGACTAAGTTGCGGGCGAAAGCTAGTTAATTTGTATTTGAAATAGATTGTACTGATAACATAAACTTACATAGGTCAACGTATTTGAACACATCGAATAAATCAATATTAATCATAACAAATCCATTTTATTAGGAGTATAATAAAATAAAACTATTTGTTTTACAAGTGTCGTGAACTTCATCTAAAATGTGATTTCCGCGAATTTTCCATCGAGCCAATGATTCATCGCCAGCCATCTGATCAAGTGTAGCGCGCGGGTTCTCTTCGTGCAGTCTGTGCCGAGACGTGTGTGCTAGCGGGTGTAATTCATATTTCGAACTTTCGAACTGGCCGAATGACAGATCGCGATTTGTTTTTTAATTAAATAAAAACTCTTTGATCAATCGAACGTGTGACTGATTTTTAAAAAAAGTTGTTGACTTTTTAAACAATGGCGGCCAAGATGTGGTTTATTGTGTGTGCGGTTTTGATAACTGTTAAAGTCGTTTTTGGAAATGATTGCTCGAGTATATCGAAAATCTCTTCTTGCGACGAGTGCACTAGATGCGGTGGATATTGGTGTAATGATCCCAATGTTGTAAGTATTTAAGATACAGTATAAATTATTAAACTTAATTATTCCACTTTGAAAATAAGGAGAGGGTAGAAAATATTTTCAATAATTTGTTAGGTAATATGTAAACGTTTCACAAACATTTTGTAAATGTCATTTTATCTTAAAACAGCAATTAACAGAACTGGGCTTTTATGACGAAATTATTGACTGACGAAAAAATAACTCTCATTAGTTAATTAGTTTCTTATCGGACAAATTAACTTAAATGATTGTATTTAATTGGTTTTTAGTAAACAATTATTAATTTTAACTCCCTCAAATTCTACCAAACTATAATTAATAACCGTTAATTTAATAGTGCCTAGTAATTACGTTAAACGTAGTAAGTAAATTAAAAAAGTAGTAATTACGTTAAAACCACACTAATAATTCGGTATTTACGTTAGAAGCTTATGACAATTAAATTGAAAAGTAAATTAATTTTAAAAATGAACTCATAAAGAATTTAGTCAAAGGAAAAAAGGAGAGATCAACCGGAGAACGGAAGGAAACAATTGAGCCAATGTATATGATAAACGCTGCTAAGTGTGGAGTCGATCTATTTTTGATAGGACCCTTTTGCATCTAATATTTTATGACCTTTAGTATTATAAATAATTTTGTAGCTAATTAATATTATAAATGCGAATATTTTTTTATGTAATATATTTTTTACTTCGTATCTCCAGAGCGGCTCAACAGATGTCGCTGTAATTTGGCATTGATCACGTTTTCCTTCTCTATTCGATGAAAATATTATTATTATTATTATTTTTGACGGATGGGTCTTAAATTGCTAATTACTACCGTAAATAATTAACTGGAACTACATTAATTATTGGGAACGGTTTACAAGTTTGTATGCATCAGAATACGCGGTAGTCCTACTTTAGCTTTGTGGTTATTACTCATATTGTTCCGTGTAATTTCTTACTGGAAACGTATACCAGTTTCAATTTGCGTTCGTTTTGACATAAACAATTTTTGAACGCATGAAATTTCGTATCACTTTTACTGCGCTGCTTATTCGTAAGAGTGGTAATTGCTAGTTCCTCCTTAACTACATCTTAAGTTATGCGCGGTTCACACTAGGCCAGTACAGTTGTGCTGTATCTGTCAGTATAATTGCTGAATTGGCAATCAACTGGCATAATATTAACACTAACTGGCGAAAGTGAGTTCATAGAAACTATGATTAACCGGCGCAACTGTGCAATAGTGCTGGCCAAATGTAAACCGGGCATAAGATGGAGTCTTAGGTTGGTTGTAATCGTAACATGTCCTCGAGACCAAAATTATTAATCTTAAAAGCTGAAAGACTCATTGTTGTGAGTAATCCTTGATTTTACAGTAACCCTTACTTATAAACATTACGTTCAATACACTGTTTGTCTGCTAATTGACATGCTAATGACCGTGTGTCGCTGTAATTGTCCAAATAAATGGAAATTAGAACGTTCCGTTTGAAACGACTCTATCAGACACATAAGGAATTAATTTTCACTTTGAATGAAATAGTAAAAACAATGCAATTTCACACGTAGATGTTTAAGGGTGAGTCTAGACAGGGTCAACGACCGATGAATGGTTCAACGTCTCATCTTTCTATTCTTTTAACTTCTACAAAACTTTTACATGTATAAAACGTACTATATTATTTACTTTTTAATTGCAACACAGATAATACCGGTCTTTATTAAATCAATAAAAAGGCCATATATTCTTTAAAAAAACATGTTTAACAGATTCTATATTCTGCATTAACTGTGGAATTGTGACTTTTTAATTGGTTTTAAATCGCCACCGCTATTACGTAGAGCATTTTATTTTTTTTTGTTATAGATAAGCTATCTGTCGTTGATAAGGAAACCATTTTGTTCTTGCATATTAATGAATTCAATATGCAGTTAAAAACAAAATAATAATGAAACTATGAAATAAACCCTTTTCAAATATTTGAAATTGTTTATGAAACTTTACAATAAATTTAATGTTATGAAAACTATAATTATTTGACTTAAAAATTTTTGGTTATAACTTAAGGTTTCGGGTCCAAGTGAGGATAAAGGTAAGGATACAGAATACATATATTAAAAATGTTTTAGACAAATTAATTATCTATACTAATATTATAAAGAGGAAAGATTTGTATTTTTGTATGTATTGAAGTCACTCAAAGACTACTAGACCGATTTCAAAAATTTTTTCACTTATAAAAAGCTACGTTATCAGTGAGTAACATAGGCTATATTTTTAATTCTACGCGTACGAAGTCGCAAGTAACAGCTAGTAATGTGGTGGTACATATGTGGATAACAGTCCAGCTACAACGACCACAGTAATGTTTGTACAATACTTCTTAACGTTAGGTGTTTGTAAACACGTAGTCGGCTTCCCACATATTTGTGGAAACCTTTTTTAAACAGTTACAAGGATATATAACAATTACTGTTTACAAATGATTGATACTATTAAAATTGAATCTAATTCAAAGTACTATGAGCAGTGAAATCAAAATGTATGTTTGAGTTACCGCAAGTTAACGGTTCATTGTTATACCGTATATTGAAAGAAAACCTTTATCGTATTGTTATATAACCATTATTAAAAATAACCAATACAAAGGGATTGGTATTTATAAAATATTGATTGTTTTAAAAATAAAACAATTTAATAGCCGGTCTAACTAGAGAATACGATAACTACTACAGTTAAAACGAATTATAAAATTTCTATTAAGCTGCATAGAGAAAAAGTTCGTTTTTTGTATATAAATTTTAATAAAGCATATTATCCAATAGCATTATCCAGAAGTAATATAGACTACGCTTTTTATTAGTATAGTAGAATATTAGAATTCATCCAGACGATGCCGGGTTGCTAAAACTAGTCCAACACAGGCTTCCATTATTCTGGTGACTTGGCACAATAACTAAAGTGTGTAACGCCACGATCGATTTCAGAACTTCCTGTACAACCCTAATTTCCAATATCCGCACTTAGCTGAAAACGAGGTTCATAGAAAACAAAGGAAAAAGGAAATCTTTAGGCTGATTACAGACGTTGCAACTGACTGTCTATTTTAATTTGAGTTGCGAATTCCGATTAACATCCACTACGTTTATTTTTGCAACAAGCAGCAGCCAAACCTAGTAAAAATACAGTTATCATAAAAATTTGTACTAAAAGTTAACATTGATAGGAGATTTGATTGACTGAACTATCGCACAACCGTTTTGTCGCGCTTTGATTATTTCAATCTTATATGGAGGTGTGCACACTACTCGATTTTTAGTTATGCAACTAAACAGCTAAATTGACTGCGAAACAATCGACAATCGCGCTACAGTTGTGCGACAGTTGTCAAAGGTGTGCGCCCGCTCTGAGTATGAGATCGGGACAAAGAGATCAGTGCAACCTAAAGTTACTAAGTCTGCCAGCCGCCTTATGTACCACACAGCGTGATTCATTACCATTGAGTGTAAATCCATTGGAACTCCGCCATGTTTGTGTATTATGTGTTAATTTATCATCACATTTATATTCTTGTCGTATCCTAACAGATGTTTTACAATAGTACTTATCGATTTTTTGTCGATTGTCACGTGGACGAATTAAAAAATCTAACGTTAGTAACTGGAGTAGAGCCAGAAAGTTCGTTAGATCCTTGTCTTACTTTTTGGTACAAAGCCCAGATTATCTTGGCAGAAATACGTATATCGTTTATGGATATGTTACTATAGCTTATTCGAGAATGAAATCTTTTTAAACGCTTTTGTATTAGTGTCTAATTTTTATTAATAATTTAAAACCAATATCAAACTATTCTCTTAACCCATAAATGTATATTGTTGTCAAAAGTCTACAAACAAAAACATAGTTTTTATTGATTTTTTAAATAATTTTTCCCTATACCGAAATATTTGTTTAATATTAAATAAAAAATCATGCATTTAAGGGTTAACTCTCCTTCGTTGTTGGACTTCAAGAGACAACTTTCTCTTCGAGTAAAGATAATTTTCTTGGTGAGTTTTGTGTTCGATAACATTAGCAAATATGTTACTACGCAGTGTACACCTAGAATTAAGAAATGGTTAATATCAACGTTTATAGAGCTAACAGTAGATTTGAAGGTAACTTGCTTGTATGTTCTATACCTTAAAAAGTCATAACGATGTGGCTGAGATATTTTTCTAAGGACGACGGGCTACGTACGAATACTTTATAAAAAAGTAAGGTGTTAGATTTTTAATAATTTAAGTTTGGAAATAATTAGGTCACTCTATTACTTAGTGCAAATAATTAGCATAATAAAAAACTACGTTAATATACTTTAACTCAAGTTTTTTAATTTCATGTCAAAGATTTGCGAAATCTGTTTAAATGCATTATAAATGTAAAAAACTATTCACGGACTATTTTATTATAGTTTGATTTGATTCACAAAATCTATGGCTCTTACGTAAACAGTCGTATGTTCGAAAACGCAAATATTGCAAGAAAATAACGCATAAAACATGAACATATGATAGACAACCAAAATCAGTTGCAGAATACAGTTCTTCATTGTAATGTTACTTAAAAATCGTAGAGTTGTAATGCATAAAAAGTTTTGTTTGTGGCTTTTAACATTGTGTGTAACATGACTCATTAGTCAAAACATGCGTTATGTACTCACATCGAGAAATAAACAGAGGGGTTGATAAAATGTACATAATTTTTATTAACTGCGTTACACATTATAACCCTGTTTTGTTTTATTTCGATTCTGTTACTGTGTAATCATTTTTGTCATAAAGTTGTTTTAGAAACAAATTTTTAATTCCTAAATTATTGATTGAGGCTGGTAAAAATACTAAAGTAATTATTTAAATAAAATTTTGTAACTTGAATTGATTTGTAAAACAGTAATTTCGTTTTTTCACAATTATTTTTAACCGATTGTATCATAAAGTGTTCTATTTATTGACATTTTAAACTCC